GGAAGCAAATAATTTAGGATAAAGTGGGAAATTGAGTAGCAGCTCATACATTAGAATCATAGGATGGGATCTTAGAATGGCCTGAGTTGGAACAGACCTTGAGGATCATCTCGTTCCACCCCTGCTGTGGGCAGGGATACCTTCCACTGGACCAGGCTGCTCAGAACTCCGTCCAACCCAGCCTTGGGCGCTTCCAAGGATGAGAACATTAAACAAACTGCTGGTTTTTCGAAGAAAAGGCTTTGCACTTTAAACCCTTCTTCTTTCAAAATCAGTTTGTAAACTCATTACAGGACTAATGGGAGATTCTCGGATGGATGCTGTTGAATCCTTCCCTACATTCACAAAGTGATGTTTTTTTTTTTTTTTATAAATACTCTTTTCTTGAGTTGAAGTTCCCTTTTTTCTCTCCCCCTCCCCAGGTCGTGGTGGGAATGTTTGGCTCAGCCCCGTGGGCTGTGCTCTCTCCACTCTGCATATCACCATTCCTCTCCATTCCAACCTAGGCCAGAGAATTCCTTTTATTCAGCACCTGGTGTCTCTGGCAGTGGTGGAGTCAGTCAGATCAATACCAGGATATGAGGTATGTCGTTCTAATTTATCTCAGAATTCCTGGTTTCCACTGAATTCAGGTTTGAGCTGTGCCTTCTGTGTGTAGATTGAATGCAGAGTGTAGTTCTTCAGCACTAATATAGTGATAACCTTAACCTTTATAACATTTGATTACTTACATGCTTTCAGAAATTTAGTGTCCACATGCCTTTTGCTGAGCTGATTGAGTGCACTCCACTCATTTCACTCATAATCTTCTGAAACTTAAGCCTCAGTCCTCAGCAGTAAAGAAAAAAAATCCATTTTGTTTGCCCAACAATTTTGAGTTAATTTGTTTTGATTTCGAAGTGGTCGGGGAAGAAGGAGGAGGGAAAAATGAATAAAACTGACAAATCCTTTGCTGCTTTTTTTTTTTTTTGTTGTTTGTGCTGTTTCAGTGGTCACTTTATCCCTTTTAAAGGATTTTTCCAACCCTTGTTTAAGGTTGAAAACTGATTTCTAAAGCAAGAACTTAGGAGTATTGCTCTCGAGAGGGAATCAAGTGTCCTGTCATCAGTATTAAAATGAAGAACCAGTCTTCTTCATCACCTCATATATCTCCTTTTTAATGTTACCATTTCCTAATATTTGCTAACTATAAAACTTTGGTATTTTACAGAAGTAGTTAACTAAAGCATATGTTTCCTATATTACAGAAAATCAATGACTTATACACATTTACACATGAACTTTATTATAGTGGCACCCAGTAGCTTTGCTGTAGTTTAGGGTCTGTCAGCCTTTCTATTAAAACCCTCTAACTTCAGTGCTTCATAACCTGACCATAAAAACAAAATGCTCCAGGCTAAAATTTGCAATATAAAATATTTGCTTTTAGAGTGAATACTTTAACCATTTAAAACGGGAGGGACAAGAGGTAGTTTTATAAAACAGGGGGGGCTGACTGGGGAAGGAGCTAATTTATGAATGGGGGTGGTTTTGCTTCTGTGGGCCTACCCTGGTATGCTGTGGCATTTTTAACTTTATTCCATCCAAGTGGAGAAAGGTGCCTGAAGTGCTAAACGTGGATGTAAAAATGCTTATGTGGCAGCAATGCATGTCCTGTCCCTGCAATGTGGGCACAGCAAGAGCTGTGAGCGGGAGAGAAGAACTGAACCTGAAAGGACGTCAGCGATGGATGAAACTCATGTTAAGGGGCAGGACTCAAATTAAAGCAAGGAAATTCAAAAGTTTATCAGAATCTCAATGCTTAAATTTCCTCTTTCCTGGCCTTGGACACTTCCAGGGATCCAGAGGCAGCCACAGCTTCTCTGGGCAACCTGTGCCAGGGCCTGCCCACCCTCACAGGGAAGGAATTCCTTCCCAGTATCCCATCTTACCCTACTGTCGGTTTGAAGCAATTCCCCTTGTCCTGTCCCTCCAGCCCTTGGAAATAGTCTCTCTCCATCTTTCCTGGAGCTCCTTCAGGCCCTGCGAGGCCACACTCAGGTCCCCCCAAAGCTTCTCTTGTCCAGCTGAACAATCCCAGCTGTGCCAGCCTTTCCTCCCAGCAGAGCTGCTCCAGCCCTGGGATCCTCTTGGTGCCTCCTCTGGACTCTCTCCAGCAAATCCATCTCCTTCCAGTGCTGGGGACCCCAGAGGCTTCATTGCCTCCTCCAAATTTCCATCCCTCTGTGGAGCTGTGTCAGAGTCTTAATAACACATTAACACACTTTAATGCCCTTCACTCTGCTCAGAGTCCATCTGAGGATTTCCATTCCAAAACCCGAGTTACCCCCGTCTCAGTTTATCAACCAGCCATCATTTTGAGGATTGCCAGGATTGTTGACTCTGCCAAAGAAGCAGCACCTGAGGCCTTTGTGCTGTGTCCTCACAGAGCAAATCTGACGGCTTGGTTGGGAGTTTCCCCGTGGGATGTTAATGCTGCAGATCCAAATGGGCCTTCTATCAGGAGGAAACTTGGCTTTCCCGTTCTGAGGACAGCAGACACCTCTCCAGTAGGCGAAGATAAGAATATGTTCCATTCCCAGCACGTTTTGTGACATCCATCATTCCTTTACGACCGTGTGGCACCTTGTGAATCCATTCTGGGGCGAGGATTGTGTCCTGTGTGACTGACACCACGGGAACACCCAGCGGTTCGCTCGGTCGTTCTTCCTGCTCGTGTTCACTTCAGTCACAGAGCTGCTGCCTGGTGTCTTACAGGTGTCATGTTTTCCCCCAAGTAAGATCTACTTGGGAGCTCTGCAGAAGACCTTTTATCACTGATAATACCATTTAACTATGTCATACTTCACGTGTCTCAGGAGCCTCCTATAAACCTTTCCCCAGCGCGGAGAGTCGAGCCGTTTTCCATAACGAATCTGAGCTGATGCTTTCCCTTAGACTGCTTTTGATAGCAAAATCAGGTAGTATTTCCTGTCAATGAACGTGTAATGGACTCCTCTCTGGCCTTTAAATCTGTCAGGAACGTAGACACGGAGCCAGGTGCAGCTTTCACACATCCTGTAAAGGGATTTCATAATCTACACTCGGAGGGAACGCGACTCTCGTAGCCCGGGAGCACCTCCCGTGATTTGCCCCCGGGGGGTTCAGTCCTGTGCAGTTTTTCAAACTGCAGGAAGCACATTTGCTTTCTTTCTGTGTTCCAAGTAGCCGGTGCAAAGTTCAGCTCGGCCCTGTGGTTTCAACAAACCCCCTCTCTTATCGGGCTGGGACGGGGTCGCACAGCACGGTTTGTGTTTCCAACTCCGGCGTCGCTGCCGAAAGCCTGAATGAATTTAGGACGTTACTCAAGTTATTTCTCCAGTTGTGAACTGGAATTTCTCCTGTCTGCTG